GTGGCCGCGATGTGGCCGGGCTGAGGTGTGGCCGCTAAGGGTATAAAATATTACAAACTGTAACAATATAACTGATTAGAAATACGATTGCACATATTTTTTATTTTTCTTTGTTTTCTTATTACATTATTTATTTTTATTTGCATATTTACATTGCGAAACCTAATATACGATCTGGTTCGCACCAAACATGCGATTACCTCCGTCGAAAATTTGTACTCAAGTTTCAGACCTACTTTCGCAGTTAATGTATCAAAAATGTTGTCCTGCATATTAAAAAAGTCTCCGTGAAATAATTGAAATTCAATATCCATGATTTTTGCTGCTTCCATGAAATCATTGGAAGGAACGATATAATTTCCACGCGAAATACATGAAATCCAGTCAGTTTTACACGATAATTGATCATACGGTCGATCTGTTATAATAACACGCTAAACACGCAGTGCCTCGAAATAAACACAGCCATATTGGATTTTAATCGAATGGGCCCCCCCTGATTGGTTGTCCACTCCCTACTACTTTTAGGCTACTGTGCATCCACGCCATAGAACATATACTACTGGAAGGAGAATAGGGCGCTGAACGTGATGCCAACATCTGTGCGAGAGAGAAAGGTATAGAGTAATATATGCGCAATGCGCATGCGTCAGTGCCATCGTATGTGTGAAATGAATTGTACAGTTGTGTTAGTGTTCTCACGCATTTTTACTGTTTGTTTCAGGAGTTTTAGGTTACGTATCTTAGACAAAATAACAATAAAATTGACATAATCTATTGTATTTAATAAATTAGTGTTAAAATGAATTTTAATATAAGAATGCATGCAATGTGAGAAACCTTTTCAAAAGAAATGAAATAAATATGAAATAAATAAAATAAGAAATAAGAAATAAATATGAAATATGTATTAAATAAGAAATAAATATGAAATATTTATTAAATATGAAATAAATATGAAATATGTATTAAATATCCATAACATATGTAAACATAACCTACATGTTATTATATAATTAATGCCTTAATAAAATATTACATACAATAACTTACGAGTAATAAGAAACTGCAGTAGTTCCGCGATTACCACACAATAAACAATATTTACTATTGCTCGGCATATTTACTTTTACTTTGTGCTGTTTTTATGTCGGCCTTACGAACGTACATACATACGAAGTGAATCTCACTGTGTGAGAACACTGCACTGTACAATTCACACAGACGATGATACTGACGCATGCGCATTGCGCAAATATTACTTTATACCTTTCTCTCTCGCACACATGTTGGCATCATGTTTGGTATACGGGTAGCATAGGCAATTCCCCTTCCAGTAGTATATGTTCTAAGGAAATTTTGCCCCACCTGCCGTATTCACCGGACATTGCTCCTTCAGATTTCCATTTGTTCCGATCCATATAGTCGGCCCTTTCTGGAGAACGATTCAATTCTTATAAAGATATCAAAAAATGGCTTGATGAATGAATCGCTTCAAAAGAACCAGATATTTTCATTCGAGGAATCCGTTTATTACCGGAAAA